TAAAAGTGAGAAGACATTTTGCATTTGGAGAGAGAAGGATAAGCATTTGTTTCCATTTTGTGTAATGTTTAGCATTGTTTGCTGTGAGGTGAGTCAATGACTTGAATTAATTATAATTACTGAAGAGACATATACTGATTGAGCAAATAAAGTAGTAAGCTCATTCTTGCCAAGGCCATCTAATTAAATGCTAACTTTGGATAAGCTGGATGTGCATGAAAGATTAATTTTAAGAGGTTTTTATGACTCCCACTAAATAATGATTCAGTAAAATCTTTGCATTATATCATTAGAACATCTAATCTTAAAGTGATATAACATTTAGTCACAGAACTCTATTGTACAAGAAGATGCAGTAAATTATTATTGTTTAAAATTAATCACTTCTCTCTAAGAAATGTTTATGGACTTTGTTTTAATTTTCTACCCTGGTGTGCAATGAAGCAAATCAGAAGTGAGCAGGATACAGTGTAGGCATTTTTCTCAATGACTGTGTCATTAGCTCGTCATTGTGCAGGTACTTCAGAGCTGTGTTTAGGAGTAAGTTGTGCTGGGGATGGACAGACAGTACTAAACTTTACATGTCATGTAAAAGACTAGTGGTAGCCCCACAGTAATCTATTCAAGATATACATAATCTGGTTTTGGAGAGAGCTACATATTTTCTCATGGACTTTGATTTTAAAGTTGATTTTAAATCTTAAGAAGACTTCTTGTGTTGAAAGAATTGGTAGAGTTTAAATACGTATTTTTCTTTACTAATTTAAAAAGCTGTGTTGATATTTAAAGCATATTAATTTTATTACAGAACATTATTTAATGATAAAGATATTTCTAAAATTGTATGTTATATATGTATATAGAAAAAATCCATGAAAATTCATCATTTGAGTTGCCTGTCATGTCTCTCACTCATATTCTTGTGTCTAGAAGTACCAGCAACATATGTATGTGCTGGCGATGCTACTTATGTTCTTGTAATTAGCCTGACTAGTGTTGTTATAGATCATGAAATATTACTTTGTTTTGTGACTGTCCATAGGTTAGAGAACATGAGAAGCAAAGGTCCACAGGAGCAGTAGCTTTAGATACCAAGTTATTATTTCAGAAGAAATTTATTAATGGGAATAACTTTCTGAAGTGTAGCTGCTGCTCATTATCAAAGTGCACAAATATACATTCATCTGCTTAAAATATAAGAAGTAGAAAGTATGTGAATTCAGCAGACTGCACTTCTCAGCAATGTCAAATAATGGCCTTAATTCTGTGCAGCTCTTGAACAACAGCAGCAAAGAATAGCTGTAATGTGCCAACCCCCGAGAAGTCTGACAACACTGATAGAGAAACCAGAAATACAGAGAAATTAAGCGAGTTGTTTATGTGCACACCACATTAGCAATAATTTGGGAAACAGTATCCCTGGGTTTTTGTCTCTTCAAGCCTGTGCGCGCTGCACAGCGCCGTGTCTCCTCCAATGAATTGCAGATAATGAAACATCATCTTTGCTTTGAGTGAGATGAAAACACTGTAGAAATACCAAACAGGAATTTTCATCAGATCAGACTGTAGGAGAGCACTGGGTAGCCTTAAGAGAATCCATTAATAAAAATACTCAGATAATTTTCTATGATTTATAGTTTATTTTCTGTGTATCCAGTTACTCCTCACTTCCTTAAAGGACTGGTGGAATATAACATTTCTAACAATAAAAGCTTAATGGAATCAGATTTGTGATTTCCTAGAAAATTAACGAGTTATTTTGTCAATTTTATTCCAGACTTCATTTGTCAGAATATACAGTGTCCAGTGACAAGCTAAAAGAATTTTTTGACAAATTAACTATGCCACAGGTGACAGATCAGGAAAATGTTAATTTAACAGCCCCTTTATGCTTCCCAGATTTATTGGAGGCTATTAAGGAAACTCCAAATGGTAAGGCCCCTGGCCCTGAATAGATTTTCCATTGAATTTTATACAGGATCTATTAATAAAGTTTGATGCTGCCTTTTTGAATATAGGTAATTGTACTTCATCTTCTGCCTCTCCTCAGCATTTGCTGTTGGAATACAATTTTTAGTTGGGAGAAGAAGGTAATTATGCTTCCAGTAGTGTCTGTAATCTGGTTCTGAATGATTCCTCCTAAAGAAGGGACTACAAGCACCGTATAAAACCCACTAGTTATTACTAGTTAAATCCAGCGTGGCTAGATCTTTGACTCTTGGCCGCTGAGACTAATAATTGTATCCCTTTTATTCAGTCCCACCACCTACAAATCCTTACCTAGTAAGCTTTGCACAGATAAGTAATTGAGCTCTGTGGGACTTCCTACACAATTAATATTTTGCAGGACCAGGCTAAGGGTATGGATTCATTCCGTCCTGGAGACAGGTACCTGATGGTTTGGATTTCTTATGCTATTCAGAACAAATATCATCAATTTGCAGTAAACGCAGCGTAGGCTTTCTGCAGGCCGTTTTGACTCTGAGATTGATCAGTCTAAGCCTTGACCCACGTGTTTGTAGGCCCTACTAGTGTTTCCTACCTAAAGTGACAATGAATGTTCTCATTACTGATAGAAAGTCTAATTGGTTTCCAAATCTCAGGTTTCAGCCTCTCTAATACCTTATGGCAATCAGTTTCACAGCCTTGTTAATTAATGAAAATATTTCACTCATCAAAATATTTTTAAGCATCTTGACTATAATAATGATGCTTTTGAGCCAATTCCCAGAACTGCTGCTGCTGGTATTGCTCCTCTTGCTCAAAGAGCAGTTGGAATCCTCATCCGTGCATGAGTTACCCCTTGTTTAAGCCACCCGTCATCTTGATGTTCATACTGAGTGTTTGGATATCAGTAATGAAGGGAGCCTAGACAAGCAAGATGGGGAAAAAGTAGACTGGAGGAAGTAGAGGGGATTTAGAGATGGGGAAGAACAAAGAAAAGTTTATTTAAAAACCCACCAAACACAAAGCAACAGCACTGAATAGGGCATAGAAGAGAGAGGAGCAGTGTGACAGCTAGACCAAGGCAAGTTACCATCTTATTTGTGACAGCTGTAAGATCAGGTTCCCTAAAGCATGTTTATTTTATTAATACATGTGTTTATTGGATTATGAGCTTATAAAACAGTCTGTACTTGTAGGAGCGGCTAATGGAGTAATCTGGTCTTTTTGGTTATTAGTTACAGGTCTTGGCTCGCTTGTCCTTTCTCTGCTTTGATGCTGTGTGTCAGTTGTAACCTTGGCATCAACTCTCACATCTGGTTGTCAATTTTTCTTGGATTTTCCCATTACCACGACTAAGCATTACTTATGATTCTGCCATCCTTGGATTTAAATATGTAACTAACTTGGCATGCCAAGGAGCCACATTAATTTCCTTGATAACTGCCATTTACTCATTCGAATGCAAATGTAGTTGAAACCACAGGTCTCCCTTCATGCTGGTACCTCGATCATGCTCATACTGTAAGTGATGCTCACAGCCTTGTGTGTCTTTTTACATTCCCTTGGTTAATGTTTGCACCTGGGCAAGGACAGGGATACACTTTGAGGCTGGAGATTCATTACCTGATACCAGCTTAATTCCCCTTAAAATAAATCCTGTAAGTAGGAAAGGAAGAGGAGAAGGAAAGAAACAAACAAACCCCATCATATTGTTTTAGCAGTTGTAGTTCTGCCATGTTAATGATTTCCTTGGTAAGGGGAGGTCAGGGTGGTACCTCAGAGGGTCCCAGGCACACTAGCTCACACTTAAGACTTAATCCAGACGAGATGGAGTGTTCTATATTCTGATACAAATCTATCATTTCCTTTTAAATGAGTAAAAACGATTTCTTTTTGCCTCTTCTTCCCATGTTCTTAAGGTATCTGCACTATAGAAATGCTTTCTGAAAAAACAAATTCGTTATATTTGGATGGATTTTAATAATACTTTTAGCTATGCCAGTATGAATAACTTTAATCTTTAAATTCCTATTATTTCTCTAATTTATAATCACACTGAAGGATCAAATGGTTTTTAACAATATATTGAAATTAGCACATGGCATTTAACTCCCTGTTTTATACTCTCATTATAGATTTATAGTATTGAATCCTTTTATTCTGTTACTTAGAATTCTGGATGATTAATTCGACTAATACTTTCTTCTCTCAAGGCCCATACATGTACAGAGGTAGATAGAGATATATAGTTAGATCAGGGGTGCTTTGCAGAGGAGGTCAGGATGTACAGCCTTTTGTCTGTTTAAGAGATTACTGCTTTAAAAATGCAGTCCTGTGTGCAGTAAACATGTTCTTCTTGCAGTGCAAACTTTACAGATCTTTATGTTGCTGAGTTTTATGTTTTATTTAATTGTTAATCCCCACAGCACCAAATAGATTTTTTCAATACAGTAAATTCCAATAAAAGCCAGTATTAGTTAATCCTCCTTGGTTGTCTTCAAATAGTTCAGGATAGTTTAATGGCTCAGTCATATGTCTGATTTTGTTCTTCTCTTGGCAAACCAAGCTCAAGCCTAAGGTTTGTTTTTAAATGTTGTCTTAACCTCCACATGCGATTGACACTCATTTTTGCCACAGGTCTTTGCTTAGGTTGTGTTCCCTGGTTTCATACCCCTGGATGAGCAGCCTGTGGTGTCTGGCTGTTACCTACACTCTGAGTGTAGAGAGTCGCTGGCCAGTATTAAACACCAATGGAAAAACTATTTTTGAAGTTTTTTGGATCCGGCAGAAACATGGGTTCTTGCAGTGAAGTTCAGACTCTATGGAAATCTGTGAAATCATTGCCAAATATTTCATATCCTTTTTACAGATACATTAAAAAGCAGTAAAATAATTGAGATTTAAACGTTCAAGCTTTACCCACTTCTAAGTTGCAGCAGAGTATTTTAATCTTTCTACTGAAAAGAATTCCACCCTCACCACGTTTTGTATTAGCTCTGTTGTGCATATTTTTTGGTAATACATTCTAATGAAATATATTTTCTCGACAGGGTCATGTTGGTACAACGGCAACCAAAAAAATTGATGTCTACCTCCCACTGCACACAAGCCAAGACAAACTACAGCCCATGACAGTTGTGACGATAGCAAATGCCAAGGTGCATGACCTGATTGGACTAATATGCTGGCAATATACAAGTGAGGGACGGGAACCAAAACTGAAGTAATGTTCTTTCTTTACTACCTCTTGATCTCTAATTTTCTCCTCTGCAGCCTTTTTGCATAATGAAATGGATTTCCATGTCAATGTTTTTATAGATAAATCTTAGAGAAGCCACCTACACATTTATCAGTATTTCCTTTTGAGCAGCAAACATGCATCTATATCCATTTCTCTTTCAATTAAACTTCTGGGTGCTGTATAATGGTAAGCGTATGAAACCATGGATCTGTAAATGAATCATAATTTCAAAATGCTCTGTGTCAAAATAGTATAAATCTTATATCTTTTGGAGTCATGGGGACATTTTTCTTTTTATGTCCCATCTACTTTTTGGTAGCATTCTTAATGGTACCCAGATGCTGACTGTTTTATCTGCATGGTATCAGCTCCTCCTCCAGATTCATAGAGAAGAGGAGTCACTGTACTGGGTGACTGTGTATCTTGGAAGTACTGTCCGTGTTCTCCCGAAACCATGGAAGAGATTTTAGCCATACTGAGTGTGCCTGAAAGCAAGCCAGAATTCTGTCATAGAACTTCAGCATTACTTACTTGCTTTCAGCTGTCATTTTGCTGACAGAATGACTTTAATTCATTACACACATGTTAAAATATTTCTGGGTTTGTAGGACTTGCCAGGTATAAGGGGCAATGGTGCTTTTCTTTCCAGGTTATCCTGGAGATATCACTAAAATAAAGATACACAAGTAAGAACCCTGAAAACAAAATAAATACCAGTTTTCTTCAAAAATGAAGAACAAAACTGCATTCTTTAATTCAGAAACCTCTGTTATGCAGTATTCTATAATTTCTTGCAAGACTTTGACCTCAGTCATGTTGGCTCTTTGCTGTGCAGAGCAACATCTGTCTTGTCCTCAGGAATTTTAGCTTCAGTTAATCAGTGGATTTTGCAGTGTCTTTTATCTTTGGTTACATCTGCATTGTGAAAGACTTCTGCCTCTTAAGATTTCTGTGACTAAATAGTGGATTGGATTTGCTGTGCTGGAGAACTAGTGTTGTTCAGTGAGAGCTGTTGCTTTATCATGCTAGGTGACATGAAGTACATAAAACAGGTACTTCAGAGCCTCTCATCTGAGCAACTTCAGTTTTAAAACAGTTCTGTAAAACACTTCAGGTTTTGCTGGGTCATAGAACATAAAATAAGGACTTAAAATAGTTTATTATAGAGTTGTTAGTGACAAATACTAGTGGGTGACTTTCCTGGTGCAGAGAAGGTGTTAACTGTTTTGTTTGGGGTTTGTTTCCCATATGAACCAATTTTCACTTTGTTGTTGTTCCTGGAGTATCAGATGAACTTGAGTTTTTTCCTTTTGGCACTGAATTTTACTGTTTGCTCTTTCAGCATTTTTCGGAAATGTTTGAGGACTTGGTAGTCTTCTCTCCTGTTGTAGCTCAGTTGTACAGGAGAAAGAGAGGTGCTGAGAGGTGGCTTGTGCTGCCCTTCCTGAGGATTAGTTGGTTTCTGTCTAGTAGATACAACACAGAAAAGCAGAGCTACTTGAAAACAGTTTCATGGATGTTGTTGCCTTGGATATAGGATTTCCTTTAAGCTCTTCCCAGCAGACATATGAGATGTTTCAGAGGTTAAACACTTCACTTGGATTTGTCTTTTTTTTTTTACACTGGAGGGGAAATATAAAATTATTTGCAGATGGTGCCATTTCCTTAATTTCTGCTCATTATATCATAAGTTCAAAAAAGTGTCCTTTGTGTATGATCAGCTTATTTTTTAATGAGTACACCACCACTTATGTCACTCTTTGGACACGTGTGTATTTTCCAGGAACACAGCACAGCTCAATGGAGTAGAGGTATTCCACGGAACATCGTTGCCCACAGCAAAAGTCAGCAGTGGGAGGAAATGAATTTCACTGCCTGTCTTGAAGGATAAAATGCTATGATGTGTTAAAGAGTGCTCCTGACCAAGGAGGCTGTCTCGTGTAATCAAATCTCAGGACAGAAATAATAAAATAAATAATGGAGCCGTAATGTTCCTGCAAACAGCTTAACAGTAACAATTGAGAATCTGAACGTAAATGTTCAGAGGAAGGGGCAGAGCCTCAAGATTCCAAGAAATTCATTTTCTTCTGTAATTCCCAATTATTTCGCATGTCTCCATCATCTTTTTTTAGCACTGCTGACTGCCAGACCTGTAGCAAGGATTGACTTAACTGTAAACTAACTCTCATCATTTCCAAATAAGGACAGCTTGTGTAGGTTACACATTCTGCATTTGCTATTTGCTCCTGGTTTAGTCAGTTCAGAGTATAAAAAGACAAAGTGGGGATCATTGTGAGACTGCACTAGGATACATAGAGAGTGCTTTAAATCTGATATACAATGCATGCAGAATGACACATACATCTACTAGTAACACGGTTTGAGAATAATAAGGAGGTTGTAGACCTTGTAATTAAGAGGAACAACCCCTTTGTCTTTAGGAAAAGAATGTATTACTGCCTAATTCTTTTCTCTAAAAGGTAGATGTACGAGTCTGAAGAGAGTGAGTACTAGCTGACAGCTTTGAGAACATTTGGTATTCAGTTAGGTTGCTTTTAAAATTGTAATTGTGTTATATTTGTCTCTATTCAGTGTCTTGATATGAGAACCACTGACAGTGTTAGCAACCGTGTTCCTGGCCCCTTACACCTGGACTCTGGTTATAACTCAGTGGACTATTCTCATGCCAACCCCTGACAGATGTGCTGTAATGGTTCCTGAAAAAAGTAAATGAAATCTGTTTCTAGGAATAAACTAACAGTGAGATGCAAAATTCAAATAAGCTTCCTATTTCCAGAAGTTAAGAATGCTTTTACATCTGTCGTTTGCTGGGCTTTTACATTCTGTCCAAGCAAACTCGGGTTCTCAAGACTTTGAACCTTGTAATTTGAAGCCTAAAGTTCAGGACTGATCTCATCCTGGGAGAAGTTCAAAATGCAGAGGAGTTTTATCCATTGGACTTGGTTTTTCAACAGATTGTAACTTAATCTGTGTTAATGTTCAGGAACCTACTCCAGGATTGAAGACACTGGTAACCCCTTTAATTTAACGGACATTGAATATTTTCAGTATAATTGGTGGAAGATAAGTTGTCACTGCTACCTTTTTTTGGCACTTGGATTGCTTTGAGACTGCAGTGAATGTGTTCTGTTGCCTGCATGTCTATATGTTCCTCCAGCTTTAATGAGATTTATGCAAATGCATCAAGTACCAAATGAAAATGTTAACTTTATTTATACAGTGCTCACCAGGCTGCATATAGAAGAAGTCTGTCAGATGAATAAGTTAGAAAATCAGTGGTGTGAGGCACACCACCCTGGCTTCTTTTACAAGGGTATATAGGGACAGGATGAGGGGGAATGGCTTTAAACTGAAAGAGGGAGATCTAGATGAGCTCTTAGGCAGAAGTTCTTCCCTGTGAGGGTGCTGAGGCGCTGGCACAGGGTGCCCAGAGAAGCTGTGGCTGCCCCATCCCTGGCAGTGTTCAAGGCCAGGTTGGACTGAGGGCCAGGCTGGACTCGGGGTCTTGGAGCAGCCTGCTCTGGAGGAAGGTGTCCCTGCCTGTGGCAGGGCATTGGAACTGGATGAGCTTTAAGGTCCCTTCCAACCCAAACCCATGATTCTGGTTTGTAGAAATCTAAATAGAATAAGAGAAGGACCCAAAAATGATGCCAGGCGTTTCTCATTACATAAGCAGGATCAGCCATACCTGTATTACAGCCTCTTTACTGAGCTTGTTCCTAAAAAGACTGGCAACACTGCAAACCACGCAGCCTCCTGGCTAAGGCTTTCCCTGGAGCTGGCTGAATCTCCTCCCAGCACTACCTGTCACCAGCATCCCTGAAAGTTACTTAAACACTCTTGAAGAAGTTAATGCTTAGTTCTACAGCAGTGTTCCAGTTCTTCAGAACAGTCCAGAGGCTCATGAAAATTTCTTTAGTAATATTGCAGAATTTTCCATAGTCAGAGGCAAACATTGCTGGATTACCTTTTTGATAGCAAATATACAGCTCATATTAATAGTAATGCATCATTATTACCTTTTTTATATAATAAATGTCTTAGTCATGACAAAGTGCATCTTGATCACCTGGACTAAGCACTCTCAATAAAGCACAGTTGCAACCAAAGGTTTGTGAATTAATTGAGAAAATTGCAAATCAGGTAGTCAGTGAAATAATTCATTGTCACATCCAATCAATAAACTTTGTAAATCAACTCATTTAATTCAAAAAATGATCTATATAGATCAAGCGACCAATTAAACAATTAGCATACACTTTGCAATTAATTAATTTAAGCATCAATCATGCAATTAAAACTCCAAATTTAAACTGCAGAGTTTAGAAACACACTGCCATGTGATCGTTTAGGCTGTACTTCGTGGCTGTGGAAAAGGACTGAATGCTGGTAGATTTATAATAAGAAAATACTTATTTTCAGATCAGTAACCTAAATAGTAACATTTGAAATAGATTTTAATGTTAAGAAAATATGATTAATACTTGATAGGTAGGTGTCAATAGTTATTTCCCGGTGGGCTTTCATCTGTGGAAAGAAAGAGGCTTACATTTTTCTTTCCTGTTTTTTTCACAGTGTATCTGTTTAAAACTTTATATTATTTAGTTCTTATTATCAGTCTATACTAATTTTTAACTTTTAAGTGACTGGACTTTTCTACTAATCAACTTTTTCACAGTTACTTGAAAATTCGGTTTTGGATTTTGATCTATGAAAAAACAGACATTGCTTGATTGCCTTTAGGTCTACAATGCAATAGTCATATAAGTAAATAAATTTTCACAAATGGAGAAGTATCACTTCCAGCCTTATGAAGTCATGGGACTTTAATAGACTTCAGTATATTTTAATCACTGTCAGTATTTTGCTTGCAGTTCAGTTAATGATGAAGTAAGACTTGGTGCTTTATGCTGAGGTTTGGGGGGGGGGGGGGGGGG